TCAGCCAAGATCTAGAGGCAATTTTCAGTGATATAGCACATTTTGAATTGTTGGGGTAGGGCTTGCAATATATTGTATGGCAAAGAAGCAGAACTTTTGGGTGTTAATGGAGAAAAAATTTTGAAATCAATAGTTTGTAGTTGATGTGAAATAAATAAATATGGATCCTGGTTCTTAAAGATTTCCAATTAAATAGGGGCTATCTGCCTATAATTAGTTGATATAGATAATATTTAACTGTTAAAATATTGAAATTTTTTTATTAGTTCTGGAGTTTGACTTTTCAAAATATATTGCTTGGGAAAAACATTCTTGATAAAAAGACTCGTATTCAGTAAGCAATTTTGCTGGCAAAAGATTTTAAAAAAATCCTTCTCTGTAATTTTATGAGGCATCTACATTTCCAAGCAATTTCTGAATTGGTTTCCTCTGCTATCACTAACCGACAACCTGTGATTTATGGATTTGGAATAATTGAATTTCTTGGCTGTCATATACTTTGAGTAAGAAATATTACATATGTTTCCAGAAAAAAATGATTTAAGGAAGAAAAGATTGAAGAGACGCCAAGTTCTGAAACTGTATTTGGAAACTGTGTTCTAACCAAATGGTACTTAAGATGCTCTCTCTGACTTTCTGAAACATGTTTGCTAAATAATCTTTGAATAATTTTTGAAAGTAGGTTTGAACATAAGGTTTCTAAGCATGCTACTTTTGAGCTAAAATAAAGAGCGGAGAGCAGCATATTGTTGTTCTCACCTTTCCAAGCACAACAAATGTAGAATTTTTTCATTGGCGCATGGAAATGGGCTGAATAAATTTCTTCAAAAATTGGAGCTACACATCTCTTTTTACCTGTCAAACACAAAATATTTAGTGATTTAGTGATAGCTTGCCATGAATAGAATTTTTTTAAAAAAACATGAACCCTCTAATGCAACTTCTCAACTTTATTGTGGTTTTGGTCTAAACTATATTTTTGTGAGCTCAGTCCATGGATTGAACTGGTCCATTGACTTCAAGTTCCATGGAGTATCTTTTCATACGTTCTATTATAAGAGTCATTGGTTGACAGTGGCAGAACCTGTCTAAGTCCTGAAGGTTAGGAAGCAGTTCCCGGCTAGTGTTTTTGACTAGCATTGTCCCATAGGACTTTCTGAGATGATGGAAATCTGCTGTAACTGTTGTCCATATGTGGCTATTCAGCCCCAAGAATGTGGCTAGTTCAACTGAGAAACTGAATATTAGCTTTTATTTTAATTACTTTCTATTTAAATAATCACATGAGATAAGATAGTGGCTATTGTATCAGATAACATAGGCCAACCTTAGAACAGTGAGTTTATGACCCTGAGCAGTTCAAGTCTATATTTGTGGGTAGCATTAACATTGGCTGCTCTGGGTAATGTTCAGAGGTTCCCCTGGGTGATTCTAAATCATGGGGCAATGGTTCCCTATCAAAGAGATAGGTAAAAATTTGCTAGGACATTTTTGGTTGTTACAACTGAAGAATCCTCCTGGCATTAGAGGGTGGGGCCCAGAGGTGAGTAATGGCCTGAAATATATAGGACAGTCTGTCGATGAATTACTGTCCTCCTCAAATGCCAGTAGCAACCAATTTGACAAACCCAAATAGATTAGCAGAGTCCTCTAAATACAGATATTCCTTGACTTATGTTGGAGCTACATCACAATAAAACCATCACAGGTTGAAAATACCATGTGAGAAATGCATTTAATATACCTAACCTGCTGATTATCAGAGCCTTTAACCTACCCTACCTTAAATGTCCTCAGAATACTTAGATTATCAGGACATAATCCCACCGTAAATCAAGGAGCAGCTGTAATTGCCTTCCTCTTTCTTCTCACCAGAAGCCAGAGACACATTGGGCATTTTGTAAACATGATGGGATGAAAAACGCAAAGCATAATATCTAAAAACACTGGCAATATAGTCCTACACTGTAGAGTACTGGTTGTTTACCTTCAGAACCACCTGGCTGACGGGGAGATGAGGGTCCCTGCTGCCCAGAATCTCCAGAGAGAATGTTCCTTCAGGAGAAGGGCAACATTCAAGCCTCCAAGTACAGTTTCTAACGAATGCCTATAGCTTTTGCACCATCGGAAAGTTGAAAAATCCAAAGTCCAACCATTGAAAGTCAGGGAGCATCTGTACTGTGGTCTCATTTGTGAGCTCTCCTGTGATCTCAGTCCTACCTATAAGTGATGCTGTCTCTTGTGATCCGATCTTGTTTTCTTCTGCCTCCTCAGGGACCTCACTTTCTAATTATGCTCATTTTGTCTTCTATATCCAACCACTCCCTCTCTATCTCTAGCACATTCTAATCTATCCTATCTCAAATAATATCTTTTCTTAATTCCATATACTCGGGCTGGGACCATCTCTGCCTTCTGTCCCCTGCCAACCTCAGAACAGAACATTTATTCACCTAGCTATCCGAGGAAATTACTCTTTTGTTGTTACTGTTAAACCTCACCAAGAGGATATTTTTTCCATTGACTTTTTGAGAGAGAGAGAGAGGAAGGGAAGAAGGGAGGGAGAGAGAGAAACATCTATGTGAGAGAGACACATTGATTGGTGCGTCCTGCACACTTGCCCTGATCAGGGAAGGGAACAAACCTGCAACCCAGGTACGTGCCCTTGACTGGGAATTGAACCCAGGACCCTTCTGTGAGCAGGCTAACACTTTATCCACTGAGATAAACCAGCCAGGGGTAAGAAAATACTTTTTGTATTGTGATGAAAAGAAAACCCACACCATATGTAGTTTCAAAAGATGCCATTTTTATTACATAGACATATCAATAGAGTCATCATACCATATTCTACTTTTAAACAATTGTATATATTTGTGTGTAGGTGTGTACACATACACACACATATATGGTTAAAAAATTTCAAGATGAGTCCACTTTTAATCTTCTATGCTTATAATAACTGCACCTTTTGCAGGTAGTCTCTACACCACCACACCGGTTTCACATATTCTTTTTCTATTTTAGGATCACATTACTTTTTCCCAAGGGTAGGCTCATAGTAAAGCTGTAATGCGGTCACTTAAAAATACTCTAGTTCATAGTTCATTGTATTGTGAAAATTAAATTTTCAAGTACCGCAACAATGTCTTCCTAATTTCCCCTATCTATCTCAAAAAGAATGACTACACGTCCCAAATATATCACTCTAAGAAACTGAGCCCTGAAAATGTTGGGTTAAAATAACTTACATTTAAAGATATAGCTCTACTTGGTTAAATACACTGTAGACTATTTGGAAAATTGTGATGATTGTATTTCTTCTTAACTCTATGTCAAAGCAGTGGGATGCCTACTTTTGTCCTTTAAGTGTGATTTCATAAATTATTTCAAAGGCAAGAAAAGATCTTACTGATGTATTATAACTGCGTATTGTGCAAACATGTCTATGAAGAAATGTAACTTAAAGTTAGAGTTGGTGATTATTCTTTCAGTACAAGACTGCATCCTTGGATAAATTCAGTAGGACCACATACACACAAAATATCTGCATTGTATAGTTTAGATTTCCAGAAACAAAGATCATGCCTGCTTGTGGCATCCAATGAACAGTGCTAATGTTGATTCACTATCTGAGGTTGCATTTATGGCAACTTCTATCATCTACTGGATAATGAAGTTATCCAAATGAGTTGGGAGACTTCAAAATCTACACTGCACAACCATAGTCCAGTTATTTCTTATGACTGGATACAGCCAGACATTTTTAATGAGCTGATTTAAATATGGTAGGGCATAATTATGTTGCTCTAAAACTAAAAGATTTCCATTAGCTGGAATTATTATTTTCTTAGCACAATCAGAACCCATATTTTGCTTTTAATTTATAATATGTTCTCATACTAGATATTAAAGGTGTTAATTTACCTAGGGTTCAGTAGGCAAGTCATTAAAAAATCAGTTGAAAATTTATTAGCTTTGGGGAAAAATAAAAGTATGCAATACAGTGAGAGTTGTATATTTTAAAATATGAGTTCTTTATCTGCTGCCAGAGGTTATGTTCTCATAAATATTTTCAAAAACCATGCTATTTTCTTGCCTACACATATTGTCTCAGGTTGCTATTTTAACATTCCATCATGGAAATATTGAATCTTGCTATGTAAATGTGAGCCTATCCTCTTATTTTCTTCTACAGAGAAGACTTTCAGGTTCTTTGGATATATGCGTTCTTAAAAACGGTTTGTCTGTATTATTCTGGAATTATAAAGCAAACAAAACACTAAATTAAATTATAGCAAAGCTAATTGTAACTTCATCATTTGGGCATACTTCTCCCATCCTTTCATATAATTTAATTGGGCTGTAGAATGTTTAAAATGTAAATATCATGAATAATCAACAGTAATTATGTGGAAGTACATAATTTAAAGTTATGCTTATAAATCAGTATTAATAATTGTTTTTACATAAATACCATAATAATAAAATAGCTAAATAACTAAGTAATTTATCTTTATATTACACTGTTCAGATCACTCAACTCTATAAATATCAACTGCAATAATTTTTACAGCAGACATAATAAAAAGAATGAAAATGAACAAATTAAGTAGAAATTAAAATGTGATTTGGGAGTATAGAAAAGCCTTGACAAATTGCTTTCTCATCTCTGTGGGAATGGAATCCTGATAACACCCCACAATATCACAATTTCTTTTCTACTACCTACTTACATTCATGATGCTATACATATGTGCTGTATATATTTTCAATATTTACAGTATACAGTATATACGCACATACACACACATAGTTTGTTTTATTCTTAGGCTCATTCATGAACATGCAGATCAATCTGCACAGTATGATCGATACATGTTTATTTGCCTTAAATGATATTTATTCATTTACAACTTTTCACTCTTGTGCAAAAATGCAAAAATATCATACAGATTAGTGTTCTCTCTCTAAAAAAATCTTTTTTTATGGTTTAGGTTATTTTGTCATTTACAAATAAATTATGAAATATAGTACATTCACAAGTTGAAAATAATTACAATGTGTTTACAACAAGGCATTGCTGAGGTTTTGAATCATGGCTTTCTTGAAGCCACCGTCTTTCAAAACAAAGACATCAACAAGTTATTGTTATTTTTGATACTTGTAGTTTTTGAATACTTATACGAAATAAGTGATAACAAATCTAACATGCTAGTCAAATAATGTTTGTATAGAAGAGGAATCTTTCGGTTTCATCTTTTCCTCTTTTTTCCCTCCTGAAAACACTTTTTTTAGAACCATCTGGAAAGTGTTGAAATTACTGTCCTAGGACAGTTCTGGAAAGTTTTCACCTAATAAAAAAAGCTGAAGACACAAGTGAGGCAAAATAGAGAAATAATAATTGTAGTGGGTGCTAGGGAGAGATAACAGCAAATGCAAGAACTGTTTCAGTTTCATCTCCTAGTCCTTTGGTATTTCCTTGCCTCGTGAAAATCCTAAAAAATGTTCAGTTCTTTAAAACATTAATTATACTCTTCCGTTAAATATCAGGTGTGGTCCTCCATTGCTCATGTTGTCTGTCATTTCCTGTTAGGAAAACAACATGAATTAATTAACATTTCTTTCAGAGTCAGACGTTGATTTGGTTAATGGGTTTGCAAAACAGACATTTCAAGCCATTGAAAAACTTGCTGAGTTTTGGGGAAGGTCAAGGGTTGATATTGGTGTTGCATTTGAGGAAATGAAATTTCATGGCATCTCGGGCACATGAAAATGCTGAAGTGACAGCCTCTGAGACCAAAGTCTTCTGCCCTCAACAACAGTTCAGTCTCTCCCCAGCCCCGAGTTTCCCCGTTCGTTCCTTAACTCTCTTTTGGAAAGGCCTACCTAGAAAAAGGAAGATGGTTATATGCCCACATTTCTCCAGTGCCGGCTCCTTCGCTGAGCATGTCAACGAAGGGCCAACGAGGGTTACCTTCATTCTACAGAAAAGTGCATGGCCTTTTTGCTAAGAACTGAGAAAGGCCCACGCGATTGAAGCTT